ATATTAAAGTTTTGCAGTTTTCCATAAAGCACATTGGCTATTTGTCTTTCTTCTTTTGCAAATTGCTTTTTCATATTCTTTTCCATTTTTCCTATTGGGATAAACATCTTTAAAGTACAGATTTATTAAAAGTGTTTCTCTAGTAAGGGTATTAAAATACTGCTGCGAAGGCCCTCTTTTAATGTCAAAAATTTTCACCAGTGTGCCCACCTGATGTCTGTTATACTTTCAAAATAATAAAATAAGATGAATGATAAGAACTAATATTTATAACTCCGTATTATCTTATTATATGCCAGGCCTTATGCTATGTAAAACAGCCTTATGAGATAGGTTCTTATAGCAGTCCCATTGGACAGATGGGAAAACCAATGAACCATGCAGGAGTGATTAATTAATTTTCTCGAGGTTACATAGCTTGTGAGTGGTCATGATGGTATCAGTTGATTAACAAAACACATGGTGACCTAGAACTTCTATGAATTCAATAATACTTCTTAATAAATTTACCTTTCATTCATCACAAAAGTATCTACATTTACTTGCAAACCTGTCTTATGAATAAGTTCAAGTCATATAAGTTTTCTCTCCATTCAAGAACTCCTTGTAATAATTCCATGCTCTCCCCCTTTCCCCCTTGATTTACTTTTAAGAACCATGTTGGACCTTATATTTTCCAGGAAGGGGAACTGAGGCTCAGGGCAAGGCAAGACCTTGCTCTGGGTCACCTAAAAAGTTTATGGCCCAGCCAAGACTGAGGCCTGGGGTTCAGGACACCTAGCCCAGGTCAGTGTGTGACTTGGGCCAGGTCCCTAATCCCCCGTTCCTTTGTTACCAGAAGGGACAACAGAGGATGCTGTGGTGGTACCAGAACAGACCTGCCAGATTCTCATGTTGCCAGCCTCCAGGGAAACCAAGTGGGCACAGACTCCCAGTCCTCTGGCCACACTGGCTGCTGGGCATTCCAGGACCCTGGCATGCTGCCAAGGGTGAAAACAGAGCTGCAGGCTCCTGAGCCACATTCTGCCCCCTCCTCTTGGTTTGCATCTCATTGCTGGGTTTGCAACATGCCTAATCTCTGCGTGTGCAGACTCAGAGGAGCCAGCTGAGAGGGAGCATTGCCAGCAACTTGGAGTCCTCCATGAGGCCTGCCCACCCCTTCCCCCAAGTCCCTCACTGGGCAAGCAGGGCCAGAGGAGTCTGCAGAAATGGTTTCTGGAGTTTCACCTGCACAGGCCTTACAGTGCCTGCTGAGATGGACTCAATGAAGGACTCAAGTCCATATTCTCTCTCTTCCCAAATGGAAGTTCATTTGATCCTGCCACATCCCATTTCTCCCTCCCTGTCCCCATGGTCTTCCTTAGAGACACAGAAAGGAGTTGTAATTCACATGTCATGCAAGTGAGTCTTGATCCTGGTTCTCCAGGCAACTGGACTCTTCTAAGAACGGAGAGAACTTAATTGTGCAGACAGTCAATAAATAGGTGTCAAATAGTGAGTACTCTGTAATCCATCATGTTTCCCTTTTTGCTTTAGCTGCTAGGAGGCTCAGAACTCACTGGGAAGCTAGATCACTAACTCTTAAAACAGATTCTTGGTATAACTGGCATCACTCTTTCCCCATGAGGTCTCTGGTTGTTCACCTGTCCTGCTGAGTATGTGTTTGTGTTGTAAATCATCACAATTCTTTTATGTGATGAAGGTGGGCTGTAAATGAAAAATAAGACATGAAAGGAAGTGGCCTGTAGACCTCTCTACTTTGGGATACAAATGAATGCTTTCCTCAGAAGGGGATGGTTTTCCCAGGACCATGTAAAACTTAGAAAAATGTCTGTGTGCCTTTTTTCCTGTTTCTGTCTCTGTCGCTCTCTCAGTCTTCCTTCCCCTTCCCACCTACTTTTTTCCTCTCCACTTTCCTCTCTTCTACTTTTTCTCTCCATCTTTCTTCTCTCCTACTTTTCTGTCTTATATAGTCTCTCTTCCCTCAATCCCGTCTCCTCTCTCTTCCTGCCCACCCCTTGCCTCTGGGCATCTAGTTTAACGTTTCTAATATAGTGCAAATGATTGACTTAAAAAACAAATCCAATCCGGTGGAGAGAATTCAAAGCCCTCCCTCCCCCCAGATGTGCCTTATCAGTTTTTTTCAGTGGGATTGCACACTGTGCCTCACTCCCTTCAAATTCATCTCCATCTAATACAGCAATGTCTGTGATAGAACCTAACATTTTCAACATTTTCCAATTGAAATCGGAGCACAGAGGTTAGATAACCTGGTGTCTTAGTTAGCTCAGCTGCCATAACAAAATGCCACAGACTGGGTGGTTTAAAACAAGACATTTAGTTCTCACGGTTCTGGAGGCTGGAAAGTCCAAGATAAAGGGGCTGACTAATCCGGTGAAGCCTCTCTTCCCAGCTTGCAGACTGTTGCCTTTCCACTGTCCTCACCTGGTGGAGAGAGCAGCTCTGGCGTCTCATTTTATAAGGGCACCAGCTGCATTGGATTAGGGCCCCACCCTTATGTAACCTTTATCACTTCCTCCAGACCCTGTCTCCAAATGCAGGCACATTGGGGGTTAAGGCATCAACATATAAATTGAGGGGGGCGGCATTCAGTCCATAACACCTGCCCAGGGGCACATAACTAACCAGTGGGATTTGAACACAGGCAGTGCTGCCCTGGAGCCCAGGCTCCTAACCCTTAGACTTAACTGCCTCAGGATGTTTGTGTGTGAATGTTGCCGTCCAAGTGAGAGTGCTCCTCTGGGCAGGGGTGTTTAGTGATCCCTTCCAAATCAATCGGGTTTTGTCCCCACCTGGCAGCTAGACATGTGGGTTGAGGCCTGAATCCACCCCACGGTGACCCCGGTGATCCCTCGGAGGCTACAGCGTGGAGGAAAACCAGACCTGTAACCTCCCGTTTGAGTTTGGGGATTCTGTTTCCAATTTACTCAGAGGGGGCCCCAGTATCCAGTCCTGCACCAGGAATGGACTGCTTGCCCTTGGGCAAGTCATTTGACACCTTCCAGCCCTAGGTTCCTGCCCCTTATGGGTGGCTGGGTTCATCCCTGGGCTATGAGGTCGGCCAAGCACCCAGCGCGGAGCCGCCGGCGGGAGGCAGGCGAGCTGCAGACGCCCGGCCCCCACCCTGGGCCGCGCAGGT